TATCTCATCATCTGCCTGAAAAAATGAGGACCTTAAAACATTGTTAACTCTTATCTGTTGCCTCCTTATCTTCCATGCTAGTGTGGCCTATTATTTGTTTTTCACCTCTCTCTAATTGTTTGACTTTTGCTTTATAGTCAGCAAAACTTGTAATTAGATTAACATGTTTGCTAATATACTTTTTCATCATTGCTTTTTGCAATTCCACTCCTTTATCTGAGGTTCACATTACCTCTTAGAGAAATAACTTCTTTTGTAGTTATTTTACTGAGAATCTATGAGTGGCAAACTCTGAGACTTTGTCTGAAAATAGCTTTATTTCATCCTCATTTTCTGAATAAAAACTCAATTGTGATTCTTAATTGATACTATTATTGCATTTTCTGCTAGAGTCTACTGATACAGATAAGAGGTCTATCAGTCTGTTATATTCTTGTAAGTAGTATCTTTTCTCTGGTTGCCCTTAAAATTTTGTCTTTGATGTTCTGCAGTCTTACCATAATTTAACTAGATGTGGATCTCTTTTACTTTATCCTGCCCAGACTTAACATGCTACTCTACTATACAATTCTTATCTTTCCTTAATTACGAAAAACTGATACTCCTTATAGCTTAGAATACTGCCTAAGCCCCATTCTCTGTATTTCCCCCTTATAGAACTCCAATTTGGCAGATGTTGGAGAATCTTATTCTGCCCATCATTTCTCTTTACTGTTTTATCACATTCTCCTTTTATCTCTCTGTGCTGTTACATTGTTATAGTCTGAGTGATTTTTACAGATCTACTGTCCAGTTAGTACTCTCTTTGACTATGCAAATTTGTTGTTTATTCTCCTGCTTTCATTATTAAATAACAAGTCTGAAGTGTTCGTGGGAATAAAGGGGAAAAATTTACTTTCTTCCTTTCTAAAATGGATATAAATGACCCATGAGCAACTTGGGTGTTAGGAGTGCCAATCCCCCATATAGTCAAAAATCCAAAAACTTAACTACCAATAGCCTACTGTTGACCAGATGTCGCAAAGTTGATTAATACATATTTTGTATGTTTTATGTATTATGTTTTGTATTCTTATAATAAAGTAAGCTAGAGAAAAAAGTTATTAAGAAAATCAGAAGGAAGATAAAATATTCATACTATTGTACAGTATTTATCAATACTGTAAGTGTGTCATCTGTTTACAAGATGAACTCTCTGAAATGGCGAGGAACTACAGCTGCAAACCTTAATCTACAGTACATATCAAGCAATTCAACTTTTTCTTGTAATGTCATGTCTTTTCTCTGCTTCTTGGGAGCACTTCCAGCATCACTAGGGCACTTTATATGGGTTTCATGGTGTTATTCAAGGTTTCCAGCATAGTCCTAAACATGATGAAAAACATATGAAAACCATGAGAGATCACTTTTTACTGCAAATATCACATGGTATTTTAAGTAGGTACTTTCAACACTTGAGCTCACTACAACAGCAACAGGAGGTAGCTATGAAATTATTACAGTAGTACAGTATACACTAGAGTTAATTGTATGCAGTTATGATTTTTTTCAGCTCCATCAATTCATTTATGTTCCTCTCTAAGTTGTTTGCAGTTATGATTTAATATTGCATCTTTATATTCGTTTACATTTCTCTCAACTGCAAATGGTACTTTGTAGGGTCTAAGTGTTTCTATGCATTAGTTTTAATACATTTTATTTTTTTATAATAAATTTGTACATATTTTATGATAGTAAATGATAGACTACTAGCTACATATATTTTATGCATTCATGGCATATCTTTTTAAAATATATTTACAGTCTAAAAAGTTTGTCTTTAGGGTTTTATAAATTGTCACAAAACTCCAAAAAATTTTCCAATGTGTTTATTGGAATAAAAAATTTTCATATAAGCGAACCTGTGTAGTTCAAACCCATATTGTTCAAGGGCCAACTGTAATAGAAGAAACTTGTTGTGGGTTGGAGGAGGGCAGCTATATAATAATGTACATACAAATTAAAAAATACATAAATGACATATAACATACACACATACATATGGATTCATGTGTCACTTAACTATGGGCATACATTCTGAGAAATGCATCAAAAGGTGATCTCATTGTTGTGCAAACATCATAGGTGTACTTACCCAAACCTCCATGGTATAACCTACTATACACCTAGGATATAGCCTATTGTTAGCAGTTTACAAACCTGTGCAGCATGTTACTATACTGACCACTGTAGGCAACTGTAACACAATGGTATTTGATTATCTAAACACATCTAAACATAAAAAGTACAATAAAATACAGTATTATAATCTTACAGGACCATCATCATATGTGGTCAGTTGTTGAACAAAACATCATTGTGCAGTGCACAACTATATCATGTAGTATACATAATTGTCCATGCTACACTTTTATATGAGTGGCAGTGAACTAGGTTTGTTTACACCAACATCACCACGAAATGTGAATAACGTGTTGTGCTACAATGTTATGACAGCTACCAGGTCACTAATCAATAGGAATTTTTCAGCTCCCTTATAATCTTGGGGGGCTCTTGATGTCTATGTTGTCTGTCACTGCTTGAAACGTTATTACGTGCTGCATGAATGTATCTGTTAAACGTATAAACTTAAGATTTGAAATCCATTTTTGACCAATGCAGAGTCTAAGTAGAAGGAGGACATAGAACCAAATTTTTCATCCTTTTATAACTACAAAAAGATTTAAGGCTGCACGCAGTGGCGCACGCCTGTAATCCCAGCACTTTGGGAGGCCAGTGCGGGTGGATCACAAGGTCAAGAAATCAAGACCATCCTGGGCAACATGGTGAAACTCTATCTCTACTAAAAACATAAAAATTAGCTGGGCATGGTGGTGTGTGCCTGTAATCCCAGAGACTTGGGAGGCTGAAGCAGGAGAATTGCTTGAACCTGGGAGGCAGAGGTTGCAGTGGGCCCAGATTGTGCCACTGCACTCCAGCCTGGGTGACAGAGCGAGTTTCAAAAAAAAGGATTTAAATTTTAAAAGAAGGATTTAAATCTAATATTAAGTCTTCTGTTCACACAGTACATGATTCGAATGTACATAGGAAGTACATATAAATTTACTGGAGGAAGAGTATTCCAGGTGGAAAGAACTGCAACACCCTGTGGCAAGACGGGACTCAGCATGACTGACAAATAGCAAGAAGGTTAGAGTGGCTAAAGTAGTGTAAAAAGGGAGTAGAAAATGAGGCAGTTGAGGTGGTCAGGTGTTAGATGGATATATGGCCTTACATGTCATAAAGGTTCTGGATCTTACCATGGTGTGATGGGAAGTGAGTAGCACCTAAAATGTCCTTGAAAATGTTATTTAAATTTTATATTATGTTTTGTATAATATTTTAAGAGTGGGAATTGTTAAGAGATTATGATCTCATTTGGAACTTAAATGACTTCATAAGTCATACTTCTCATTTATTTGAAACTCAAGTTACTTCATAAAAATCAAGCTTTTTCATTTTTAAAACATGTACAAGATGACATATTAGAATAAGCAATGTAATGATTACGAATGACATAATCTGATACAGAATTCGGGACAAAATTCTGTTTTGAGACTTCTATATGTGAATATATATATATTACAGTGCACGTGAAACACATATGTACAGTCTAACGAATAACTAGAGTGAATCAGTGTAACCACTATATAGGTCAAAAAATAGAACATTTGCAGCACCTCTAAAACCGTTGCTATTTGACTTTTAAAAAAAGAGCTTACTTAGGACTATAATCTGTGATAATTATCTACTTAAATGTCAACTGAAATCATGTGACCAATCTTTTTATGGGCAAAAGGAATGTTCCCTTAAGTCCATATTTAATTTCAATATGGAAATTGAGTACATATCAACTTAAAATCAATCCACATTTCAGTATAGGGATGTACAATCTCTAAGGCATTTATTTTTAATTAAAACTATATATCACATATAAAAAATAGAACTATAAAACTTAAAGATAATGTATATATTTTCATACATTTTAGGGAAAGAGAACCTAATAGTAACAGCTTTAGGATTAAAAAGCATTTGATTAAAGTAAAATCAAAGACATTCAAAACTTTAAGATCTTATTATGTGTTTCATTATAATAAACTAGGTAAAACGAGACTTCTTTGTTTCTGGGTAGTTTCTAGTATATGCTTAGCATTCATTAAATGTTAAACAATAAAATGTGAATTAGGCTAACCACAGTGTATCTAAAGCATACATTATTAAATTTGAGCCTATTTAAAATTTTATATTATAAAACTACATGTCACTGATTCATAACCTTTCTCAAATAAATAAGCCCCAAAAATCAAGATTTGTATTTTTATATCAATATTTTAGCAATAAACTACCAGAGGACAACAAATATGTTGATCAAAATTAAAATTAAACTAATAATATTTTAAAATAAGGAACTTCATATTAAAATTAGATTTTTCTCTATGGAAAAATTCTACAAACATTTTGTAAATGCATTTGAAATAGTCAAGAAAAAGAAGGAAATGAAATACAATAAATAAAGGTAAGCTATATAAAGATATACTAAATGGGAGGCAAAACTAAATGGACAACCTGGATAAAAATAACATTTAGAAGTATCACTCTTTAAGTTGTAGTGCAGCAGCACCTGAATTATGCTCCTTTTAATTTATGCACATGATAGATAGCTTGTTAAGGGGCATATCTGTAACCATTATAATTGATAGTAGCTGAAGGCAAGTCAGGCCATAATTTCTATTTAATGGATGGGATAGTAAGGGATTAAAGCCTGCAGTTGCATTTTAAAATAAGCGCCGAGAGTTTACAGTTATGTCCAAAGTAATACCTATATTCTAGAGAGGTATTAAATTATTTGAGAGGAGAGAAACATCAGCTGTAGCAAGATCCACATATGATTAAATCAAAATTTTGATTTAACCAGTAACTAAAAAAACCTTACAATAAGAAGAAAAGAATGTTCAACTAACCATTTGATAGTCCATTTCTGTACTCTTGTTCTTTAGAGCTTGTGGGAGAAGCAAATAGACTCATTTGACAAGTTCCAGTTGTTGGAGAGTAAGTTATAATACTTTTCTTCCTTGTGATTTTTGAAGGATCAAATGACTAGAATTAAATAATAATTTAGGGCAGAAATAGTTATGTTTAGTTATAGATCTTTGAAATTACATACCATTAAAAAAATCAGCAAAAATCAAACTCCTTTCCTTGTTCTTTCAGATTACAAATATACTTAATAATCACTCTCAAAGTAAACATTATTCTTTCAAATTAGGTAGGCGTTTCAGGTCTCTACAACAACTAGAACATCTCAATTTGATATTTATGAAATTTTAGCATTAAAGAGTTACTTACTACCTCTTGAGATGGTATTTCTAAACAGGTTAGAGATGGCCAATTCTCCCAACCACAGCCTGACTTTTGCTTTTAGCTGAATTTGAAGTATAATTATGGGTCCGGGGCAGGAAAACTCTCAAAGGTGCCTATTACTAAGCCTCACACAGAAACATTAGGAAGGATCACTGCTGACCCACAGCTTCACAAAGTGGTTCTGATGTAGTATCTTCTTTCAATAACCAAAATAATGTCCAAACAATTGAATCTGGCATTTAAGGCCTCTGAGGATTTGGCCTATCTTACACAATTCCTCTTAGCAGCTTCCTCCTTTGTGTTTCCATAGGTGATGGGCATACCTTTTATTATAGGTAACATATTTTAATGTTTAAATTTTTCTGTCTGTCCCATTAAAATTTGCTCCTGAAAATAAATATGTTTTTCACTTTTATATCCTAGAGAACTAAAAAATGTGTGAAGAATGAATGACTTACAAGGAACAGTCAACTTAGCCATCTCACTCTACTCAGAATATACTAATTTGTTTATTGGTTCATTCATCCAATTATTCACTGCTTCCTACAGCTCCAGTCACTAGGCTATGTGCATTTGGGCCTCAGATCGTTCCGTAATCTCCGCTTATAATGTCCTCTTATTTATGTTCCCCAAGACCTAGTCTTTCTTCGGTTTAGGTCCTCATTCACGATCCCCTTATCATACTACTAATTGTTCTGTCTCCTGAATTTCCTTAAAACTTGCTTTCCATAAGGCTTACTCATCACCCACCAGCATTGCTAACAAATGTGTACAAAGAAATATAACAAATTGTTCTGGCCTTAAAAAGTGTCTACCAAAAGTTAGAACAACAACAAAGAGGTTTTAAATTAGTATGTATGCTACAAAATTCAGAGAAGAGGGAAAATTCAGTTGGCTGCAGTAATCTGTCACAGAAAAAGGCATGAGAAATCTGAAATCAGAGGTGAAACAGACAGCGTAGGATGGATCTGGGGGATATAGGAAAGGCCTGAAGGCTCATACACTGCCAACATATGGATATAGCTTGGCAGCAGATTTGAAAAAGTTACTTAACTCTGCATGGTCAACAATCCTTTATTTTTAAGAGACCCATGGAAGAAATAGTGGCTGTCTCATCTTTTTTAATAATCCCAATATTAGCTTCAAAATCAATAGCATTCAAAAAAATGTTTTTACAGTTAAGATTTTAAATATTAGGAAAAAATATTTAATTATATTGAAAAACAAAAGGCATTTTTAATTTTATGTATACATAGTGCCCACAAATGCAATGAATATCTTTTACAAAACATCAAACTATAGGCTGGGTGCGGTGGCTCATGCCTGTAATCCCAGCACTTTGGGAGGCCGAGGAGGGTAGATCACGGTCAGGAGATTGAGATCATCCTAGCTAACATGGTGAAACCCCGTCTCTATTAAAAATACAAAAAAAATAGCCAGGCGTAATGGCACACATGTGTAGTCCCAGCTACTCGGGAGGCTAAGGCAGGAGCATTGCTTGAACCCAGGAGGCAGAGGTTGCAGTGAGCCAAGATCGCACCACTGCACTCCAGCCTGGGTGACACAGCGAGACTCTTTCTCAAAAAAAAAAAAAAAAAAAAAAATCAAACTACTATAATATCAAGTTATAACTCTAAAGCAATCTTTTTTTTTTTTTTAATGGTGAAAGGATTTTAAGTCTCTTTATCAGGTGGTTACTATTACCTCTCCATCTTGAGTTTTCACCTGTTTATATGTACTCAGTCATAAAATGTCATTTATCCAATCCCTACTCTACTTTTCCAAGAATTTATTGCACAGAACTATTACACTGTATATGTACAAAAAATGAAAGTTGCTACCCAAATGTACATTTATGTCAATCTGTTTTCCTATTTTCACCAAAAAATTATTTTATCCAATTGCCAAATGTCTAAACATTCTAACTGTAGATCATACATTTCTCTTCAGAAACAATTTTCCAGCTTTTGGAAAATAACTCGTGTGTGTGTGTGTGTGTGTGTGTGTGTGTGTGTGTGTGTATTTTTGCCTTACTTTAAAAATACTGAGGCGTGGCTGAGCGCGGTGGCTCACGCCTGTAATCCAAACACGTTGGAGGCCAAGGTGGGCGGATCACCTGAGGTCGGGAGTTCAAGACCAGCCTGACCAACATGGTGAAACCCCATCTTTAAAA